CAAATGTGGACCGACCGGGGGGATGGGTCAAAATAATGAAATTGGACCGGACAGGGGGGTGGGTAAAAAAATCTGGACTGGACAGGGGGGTTGGGTCAGAAGCTGATTTGAGACCTCTTCCACCCCCCCTCCACAGTTATTTTTTGGAACAGCCCAATATGAATGCCACCTAACAACTGAGATTTGAACTGCAGCTGACATGAACAACTGGAATGAGGTGTCATGGTCTTCTAGACTGAAGTGAAACAAGCATCATTCTATTGCTCAAAACAATCAATATAATTATGTTACTATTATATATAAAAAGGTAAAAAGGCAAGCAACGCTAGATAAATATCACATACATATTATGGAATAAAAATTGTTGAATTCAAATTCAATTTAGATTGTGCTGTTCCCAATGTAGAAATGTTTCACTTCAATTTTTCCCTCAATGTTTCACTTCAATTAAAAACCTGTTAATTAGCATCAAAAGTGTATGATATATATGGGTATAATTCCAGAAAGTCACACTGATTTTCCAGCACTATCCCATGTACCATAACCTACAGCTACACATCTAGTGCTTCTAGGCTGCCAGGAGGGGTTTTAGAATACTGCATGAAACTTTCATAGGAGGGAGGAGGCACGCCAGGTGACCTTTGACCTTCAGGTGGGACCTGATTACTCTCATAGTTAGATGGAGGACCGCTTGTAGAGCTTGGTAGCGCCGATGGCCGTCCTTGTTGCTGGACACCTCTGTCGTGGTTGGACAGTTCTGTTTGCTGGTTGGCTGATGGTGGTTCTGTGGAAGTTTCAGTCAGGGTGGGGTTCACGTCTGTAACAGCAACCACCTCTTGGTAGGTGGGCGGGTTTAGGTCAAAGGCAGTTTCACTGGACTGTGTCTGAGTCATGGGTAAGGCTGTCGTGGCTGTGGAGAGACAATAATTTTGAGTCAAATGAGAAATACTAAAAAGTGAAGAAAGAAATTGAGAGAAATGCATGAATACAAAGTTTCAAAATCAAAATAGAGGAGCATTCCTTATATACCGGTAATAGCTGTAACATTGTTAATCAAACATGAAGTTATCATCTATAAGTTATGATATATAAACCCATACCACATACTAATCTAGGATTGAGTGGCGATTAGAAATAATAATAAGGGCACGCAAGATTTCCCCAAGTTCTCTGACATTTACAATCTAAGTGTCGCGAACCTAAACAACTTCACAGTTACATTTTTTTAGTCTTACTTTGTGCATTCTGTGTGATTCCCCTTGTTCTGAAAAGATAGCAAAACAGGCAGAGCACAGCAAAAAAAGCGACAGGAACCAAGACCCAGACAGGGAATCCACCATCCTCAGGGAACGCTCCATTGGAACTGGTACGGTGCATGCTGTCTTCTGGGAAATGGAATATATCAAATTCAGATTTTTAAGAATCAAGGTCTTATTTTTGTATGTGTGTGCCATTCTTGTCAGAGAACTTGGAAAAAGCCTGCGTTTCGCCCAGATATAAAAGGGCCTTACTTGGTGTAGGTTCTGAACTCCGCTTGCTAACACAGATGCACAAACAGAGCAGAGCCACGAAAATACTGACGGAAATAATGATAAGCCAGACTATCGACAGTTCGCCATCAAAAGAGAAGCCAAAATTGTTCCTGTTGCCATTGGTGTTAGAAGTGTCTGAAGGAGAAAAAATCACATGTGAGATTTTTTCAGCACACGATTAATTACTAAAATTGGAAATGTAAAACAATACATTGTACCTATTCAAGTCATGAGTATGCCATTATGAGGACCATGTGACTTATACTAAGTTATAGCCTATCAGAACTCTCGCCAATATTCAAATCCCATTCGTTTCCCTATTAAAGGATACCCAGACTATTCTGTAGAGAAATGATCAAAAGAGTCAACAGTAGTAGAATAGATACCGGTAGATAGATACCAGGTTAGAGAGGCTACATACAGAGATTATGTTAACTAGAAAGGTCGACATTTGCGCATCAGATGTAAATATTTCACTCCACAATGGACTGACCATATCAAAGATGAAGAAAATGAACCCAAAATTTTAACAAATTTGCAGGAGGAGAAGGAGGAGGGGGAGCAAAAATGCCAGATATGAAGTGCAATATAAAAATGCAGAATGAAAGTACAATGTACCTGTAAATGTCCTATAAGTGGTTGGGTAACCACAGACTAATGGGTCCTCGGACAGGGCCACGTAAGAGGATCCACACTCACAGACACCAAGGTTGCAGACCGCCCTAAAGTCTAGACAGTCAAACCAGCTACAGGTCAATGACTCTGCACAATCATTCAGGTAACCTATCCTGTAAGGGATGAGATGACACAAACAGGTTTATTAGATTCACAACATGCTAAAACAGATCTCAAAATACTAGGCACATGTGCACGTCAAATTTGGAGCTCGGAACCCAAATATTTTTGTAGGCTTATGCTATGTAAAGATGTTAGATGTACAGTAGTATACAGCATATTCTTAACACCTAAGTGTCAGAAAATTATAAAATCATTGTTATAGTACTTTACTTTTACCTTTTAGAAATGAAACATAATTAGATTTTGCTGACAATTTACTTATTTCGTCTTATATTGTGTACCCCAAAATTTTTTTGTGCAACAAATGTTTTTAGGTTGGGTGCACCAGTGCACCTACCGGTATTCCCAAAAATGAATTTTGAGCCCTGAAAAAGCACTTCGTCTTCTGACCAGGCAAAAAAGTTTTGAAGTGTACCACAATGAACTCCAACAGCAGGGGTTTTTCTGAACAGGGGAACAAGGGCGCTGCGCCCTCATGTAACAAACCAGCGCCCTCATATCAATTTTCAGATCGAAGCCTAAGTCTTTTTCAAAATCATCTTTTTCCAGTAAAAATACAAAAACAACACCACATAACAATACATTCTGGCATTACAAACTATGTTACTCTCATAAAAATTCCAAAATCTTACCACAAACTTGAAAATTTAGCTCTAGTAGTAAAAGTTTGAATGGAATAAACAATGTTCATTGAGACTTGCTCAAAAACATGTAGCTAGACCTCCTTCATTTGCATACTATAGAACAGGCTCTGAAGTGAAACATGAGACCTGAGTTTGTAGCAGCTTGGATGAATGTGTTGCAATTGTGCCATGGGAAAGGTTTCAGCTTGTGGCAAACCCAATGTTGTCATCTGGAGCTACTAGTAACATTGATCACTAATTGTGTAAGTGTATAAAGGGTGATTTGCAGATTGTGTGTACTGTTGATTGTACTTATATTTTATAAGTGAAATATGCAATGCATGAATAGAAATTTGGGAAAGGTATATTGAGGTTAAGAGTTCAAATTTCCCCCCTCAAGTAGCCTCAAAATGTCCCATTTCAACTTCTAATTTTCAAAGGCTTCAAATGGCGGAAGGGGGGATACCGCCCTTCCGCACCAACCCCCCCTCGGTCGCTTCGCTCCCTCGCCGTGATACTGCTCCCTCATGCCAAATTTTTCTAGAAAAACCCCTGAACAGTGTAAAGTATCTCTTTGAAAAGCAAAAAATTACATATTACCTACCCAGAAAAGGAATCTCTATGAAAATACAACTTTTCTGGATCCTTTGGGTCAGAAGACATGTAAGATGCAAAGCGAACATCTTCGATGCAGCCACGGAAGGAAGTCCTCCACTGAAAGTCCGGAGGCAAGGCAGCATCTGGTGCACCACCGATGAATAACTGATCCGTATGGAGATCTTCACGTTCACTGACGATACCTGTTAAAATAATACGTACTATGTTTTTCTAATGTTTAAGTTTATACATGTACATGCACATGTACGAACAGATGCAAAAATCTGAAATTTGCTGGAAAAAGCCCTGACATAAAATGTCATAAAATTTCCATACATGTATGAATAATAACCTTCAATGCTAAGTCATGCCCAAAAATAGTTACAAGTGACAAAAGGATAACATACAACCAAATAAGTTGTGGCAATTTTCATAAAACATACCATGACCCAGAAGGTTTTCCGTGTTGTATTCCAGGTAAGCGATGTGACTATTTCTATGGATGGTGATTTGATGCCAGTTCCCATCATTGAAGTCCTCCCCAAATGTACTCTTAGAAGCTGTCCTGTTTTCCTGGGTTACGAATTCATGGAAAAACTCATACTCAAACTCAATAATGTAACAATATCTTGATATGTGTGCCAAAGATCTAGACCCACAAGGGATTACGCTTATAAGTAGCGTGGTTTAGTGAAACTTGATATTGGTACAGTATTGGTACTTGGTGATAATTTATTTTGGACCTGTACCCAATCAATTTTAACAGCACAGCTCTAGTCACTAGTACAGGTCTAAGTGTGACATTATAACTTGTAGCTTACCTGAGTTTTTAAACTGAGTACAAGTCCTCCTCTGTGCAAGGAGAGAGCAAGGTACGTTGGACCCCCAAAGTAGACTAGTAACCCATCAGGATTCCTGCAATGTTGACATGAAACAACAGTTACAATAAAACAACATTTTTGCCTTAACAGACATTCATCTAATTGCTTTTCAGTCACTGCTGATATTACAGTAAAAGGGTAGTATGAATTCATATGCATGTCACAGAACACTTAGAGGCAATACATATATTTATAAAATTATATACCAGACTTAAAATGCGTGAATTACCTTGTCTTAAATCTAAGGCTGATGACGGTATTAGTCTCTGACGTATTGCCAATCCTCATTTGTGCAAATCGTGTAGATGGCCTGAAGGTTGCCAATGACGCACCATCAAATGCACGCATGGTGGACGTGGCGGTTTCTGGCCTTGGTGTGGTCCCACAGGTGGCCAGAGGTGGACACACAAGAGTGACCACCAAACCCCAGAGAATAGTCATCTCCATCGCTGACTTAGCTGTTGTAGCAGGCCTATGTGACAACAAACAAAAACAATTCATTCAAATTTGAATACCAACAACCAAGCCATGTTGACAGGTTAGGGAAATATGACTCTACTCTCCAACTCCCAGTCCAAGTAGAGCTTATTTTTTATGTCTTTCTCTGATGTTTATCAGGATTTCCTTCTTTGGACTGGTAGTTTTTGTTAAACAATATCAAACTAGGGATAATTATATAAAATTTACATTATATTAAATGTCGAGGCACACCTGGAAAGATTGGGGGTGAGTACAAGTGTGTTCATCAGTTACAAGTTTATAGGGACACACTGATTAAATGTCTTGGTTGTTTTGACAAGAAATAAATGGAGCAGGCAGGCAAGCATAGTTACTTAAATGCTTGTCATTAAATCAATACGGACCTTAAGTATACATGTACTTCCTTGCTTCCAGGAAGCTGCCCAACATTAATTTATTTGCATAATTTCAGATTTTCCCCCACTTTAGTCTTGGCATAAGCATATAGCAGTTAAGCTTAAAATTATATTTTCACGTTTTCTACCCATCACATTACAGTCTAAAATGTTGGCTGCTAATAATACTATATAGTGTCCCACCAAGTTCGATCGATATTCTATCAAGAAAACTTTGGAGGGGAGGGGGGCGGCATTGATATCCCGGAAGTAAAACCAAAATACGCAACATACTCATGTTGTCAACAGACAAGAAGCTAAATAAGAGTTTTCTGTAGTTTTTATCTGGTACATTTTACTTGTTCGGTGTCTTGAAATACTATCAAAACGCGACGACTCGAAGTTGTACTCACTCATATTTCTGTACCATGTCCACACGTCGACTCTTCCCCACACAAAATAGTAGTTTATTTGGTCCCACCCTCCACACGTGACCTGTGACGTCACCTCCATACGTCATGGAAAACACCCATGAGGTCAACGACCGTCAGGTTACCAACGGATCGCTCTGGTATCTCCAAGCAGATGTTTGGAGGCTTTTCTGTGTCAAAAATTATTTCTGCTCCCAACGTACTTCAATGTTTTGTGTTCACAAATATTTTGATGAAAAAAAAAAACATGTACTCCATTTTTCTGGTAACGTTACAGTCCTCCATAAAATTTATTATTATATATATGATCAATTTAACAAATATCATATGGCAATTGATATCACATTGCATACAGCATTTAACCAATTCAAAGCAAAATCATATCAATCCTTTATGATACAAAAACACATTTGAAGACTTTGAAAACTTATTTGCCCTTAGCATTATGTTATCCCAAGGATGTTTAAAACTTAGTTATCCCAATTTGATCATAAATATTCATGCTATTTTTATTACAAAATCAGATTGGAACATGGAATGATTTACAATCATTGGGACACATGTATCTCATTATGATAGGGTTACAGCGAACGCAATGTACATAATGTACCCAATATAATATTTTATTTCGATGCCTCGAATTTGCTGGCCATGCATGATTACTCAGCCCATACTCAGCCTATACAAATAACAGTAAGTGCTGCTTTGCCTAGTATCTCATTTTTATAGACTGATTCTTCTAACACCTTTCAATTTTACAACTTTCCTGATGCACCCAACAGAAAATATCCTAGTCCAGATATTGTTAACTATTTTACTGAGACAAAATTATGAATTCACAAATATGCTAAACCCAAAGAAGTTATACCAATGGCATTTTGTACAATTGCCATGTACATATTACTATTACTTTTCCATGACACAATCCTAGTCACCATACACTGCAGAACAATGTAAGCCACACATAGAGAAAATTTGCTGCCTTGACAAAATTAGCTTTGTCTGATCTAAGGGACATTTTGTGTCAATTTGTTTTTGTAAGAATATGTGTATTTTATTTCCTCCTCTTGCGGATTTCCATCTTAGCGATGGCCTGGCGGTGAACCTCGTCAGGTCCGTCAGCCAATCGTAGCACTCGCGCCCACGAGTAGAACGTGGCCAATGGGGTGTCTTCACTCAGTCCCATCCCACCAAATGCCTGCAATGGACAAGTTACAGTTACATGTTACACTTTTCTTTCATTTATACTACTTCACTCCATTACAAATTCAATCAACCAAACCAGTGGTTCTACAGTAACTGTTGACTTAAAATAGCATTAAATACCAGATTTTTTATGAGGCTAACACTTTTAGACAATAAATGATGGTGTTTTTTTTTGTACATTACAATATTTGCAGTATAATGTAAAATTCATCAAATTTGAATAAAGTGTAATCAAATTATGAACTAGGCACTTGCCTGCATGGACCTGTCAATCACTCTCTGTGCCATCCTGGGGGCAACGACCTTGATCATGGCTATCTCTGGGGCTGCAGCCTGGGTAAATAAATACAAGTGGAAAAAAAATACATGATAAAACAGGGCACAAAATATCCACCTGCAAGTGCATGGCTAGCAAAAACAAAAACAAAAATTGCTGGTAAAACCTTTTCTTTTAGAAACTTGATTGCCATAACTCAACTCTTCTATTTCTGTAAAATGTTAATTGCATTATGTTCCCATTGAACTGAAAGTTTTATTGACCATCTACCTGCTGCCTATATAAGTACATAACCTGTAAGAAATACAAATATGGTGAAAAAGGATAGACTACCTGGTACCTTAGCAGGGAAAAGGTTAAGATGAGATACAAACCTTGTTTCCCACAGTGTCCATCATGTGAGCAGCCTTTAGCGTGAGTAGTCTGGCCTGCTCAATCTCCATACGTGACTCTGCGATGTCTGCCATGATGGTCCCCTGAGTGGCCAAAGGCTTTCCAAACGCCACCCGCTCTTGTACCTGAACAAGCAAAGATAGAAAGTTTTTCCATTTACTTTGATTTTATAAAGTTCAAGTTGAAAAGTTGTAGTAAGGCAATGTAAGAAAGAGGACATGTTCACAGTGTTATTTTTTTGTGACACAGATTTACTTACGAGGTTCAAAATACGCCCTCTCGCACTCTCAATGTGCAAGTCATGGTTTCTGTATGAGACTCATTGGTGATGCAAGGTTGACCAGTGAGAAAGTTGTAGGCTGCCTCGCCCAGTATGTGAGTGATACCTTTATACATTTGTAGGTGGCCTGGCTTATGGCTTGCTTTAAAAAATGGCAGCAACCTGAAATATTGATGGGCAACCTAGCTTTTGGCTTAGGTTGCCGAGTGGGCAACCCCCTCAAAAAAAGCATTTCAAACCCTGCAACAGTTACACCTACCCTGTCGATCATGAGTTCGAGAGACCGCTCAGCCGAGCCAATCAGACGCATGCAGTGGTGGATGCGGCCCGGCCCCAGACGTCCCTGGGCGATCTCAAACCCTCTCCCCTCCCCCAGGAGCAGGTTCTCCGCCGGGACTCGCACATTCTCAAACACGACCTCCGCATGACCTCCTGTACGTTAAGGAACACCATCAGTAACAATCTGCTTTTGATGAAAAACTAAGTCTTCAAACTTCTCAGATAAGACAGTAATAAATCTAAGGTACAGGTCCCAAAGCCTTTAAAGCTATAGGGAAGTTGCTTGTTAATCCACTGGGTCTTGGGCATGGTATTGGAAGCCCATCCCTCCCCTCCACTGTCTTTCACCTCCCTAACAAAAGTCTGGTACCTATTTTACACCTAAGAGGAGTGAGGAATGTCATGGACAAGCCTTGTGAAAGTCTTTCCCAAGGACACAACGTCCAGCCTGGAATGCTAAGAATCGTGCAAGCCCATGTCCTCTAGATCTAGCCTATAACCACTTGACACCACTCACATATACAGTATTCCCATAGTGAAGGTTGACTGATATAATAAAGATATTCAGAATCTGATATCACAAAAAAAGAAGAATGACACAGGAGGACATGATCACCTGGAGCATCCTCATAGCCAAAGACTGACAGCGGCCTAACGACCTTGACCCCTGGAGCGTCCATGGGTACTAGGATCATGGACTGTTGTCTGTGTCTGTCTGCTGACATGTCTGTCTTCCCCATGAAGATACACAGCTTACACCTGGGGTCCATACCACCTGGAAAATACAAGGGTTTTCAAAAGGACTGATTTCAATTTTCTAATCATATAAAACAGAGCAGAAGACCTAAATGCTACCAATAGAGGAGCCACAGAGATGACAAGCACATGTACATAACTTTTTTATCAAAAAATCAAAGCAGAAAACAATGTTGAAATGGCGAATCTGAGAGAGCCAATTGGCCTTGCGAAACCCAGCGCAGAATATGGATGAGTCTGTGTTAGCCTATACATGCTGTTTCTCATACCTGAAGTCCACCATTTGTGTCCATTCAGTACATAGAAGTCCCCTTCTCTTACTATAGAGGCCTGGATATTGGTGGCATCGGATGACGCAACCTGTGGAGAAACCAGAGAAAATCTCAGTCAACAAAACTAGCATAAAAAGAAAGAGCAAGGCTTATTGATAATCAGGTTCAAGTCCCTTCTACTGACCTGTGGTTCCGTCATGGCAAAGCATGAGCGGATACTCCCATCCAGCAGCCTGCTCAGCCACTCCTCCTGCTGGGCAGGGCTCCCATACTTCACCAGCACCTCCATGTTCCCAGTGTCAGGGGCTGAGCAGTTAAACACCTGCAGGACAGCAGTACTCAAAATTACCTTCATATATTCAACTGCCCATCTAGCCTGCATTAGACTATTACAGAATTAAAACACTAAGACTGCTGAAAAGACAACACATGAAGGAAGTGAAAATAAATAATACTGTAGGTTTCATTGTTTTATATTGTACTGGTTGAGTCATCTCATGTTTAATATACATCAAATACATATACTCAGATATATTCTGAGTACTGTACAGCCTCCATTTTACTGGCTGAATATATTCAAGATACATTGTATATTCAATCAGTGCAATACAATCAAACCTATCTTATCTTCAGTATCTATAGAATCTTCAGTAGAAAGATATTATATCTGATGGCTAGTCTTAAAACGACGAGAAAGACCAGCCAAAAGACCTGGCACGGGATACATGTAGGATGACTAGCCCAGGACCAGAGCGGTTGGTGGCAGCTTGTCGATGCCTTATGCTCTACAGGGAGAGAAAAGGAATAAGTAAGTCAGTAATCCTAAAACAGTTTACCTCAGGTGCAAACACAGATCTCCCCATGGTCTCACACAGGTGTGCATACTCCACGTTAGTCAGCCCAGCTCCAAACTTCACCTCCGGGTCAGCTTCCCTGGGCAGGAACAGGTTCCACAGGCCACGGGCCTTGGCCTCAGCCTGAGCACAACAATTCAATCTTAATATATCAAACTCAATCCCGGTAATGCAAAATTATTATAGACTGAGTATACATGTTACAATTACATGCATGTGATGAGTTCACTCTTTGCACAAACTGTAAATATTTCATGATCTATAATCAACTTTATTGTATTGCTCAACAACTGCACTTGGTACAATGTATGGCAAAGAAGGAACAGCAAGGGGAGATACATGAAATACAATGCTAACAGAGAAGTACCTTAAGTTCCTCTACCAGAGGATGGGGGTTCCACCTGTCTGCTGAGTTCTGGTGAGCGCACAGTTTCTCCTCATTAGGGTAGATGTGTTCATCCATGAACGTCTTAAGTTTGTAGTGAATGTTCTTCACATCTTCTAGCAGACTCTTAGGGGTGACTGCCACAAGACCTGTAATGAGTTTAAATCTGTAACGGTTTTTTGTCAGCAAATGAATTTCATTGTCACAAAATTAATGCACCTTGCAATTGCTGGCAAAGAACACAGAACACAGAATAAGATGGCATGACAAGAGAAAAAATGCATTATCATTATACACAATATGAGGCACTTGGGACTATGTCACTATATGACATATGAATAAAATTGTATAATGTCATTACTGCTGTTCATGTACGTGTTAGTACTTGTATGTGTACATGTGCCAATGACAGGCAATTATATATATTATGTGATACTTTGCTATACACATGTATGCAATCATTGTAAGTGATGAAAGTAGTATAAAAACTGAAGAAATACCCTTAGATAAAGAAATAATAAGTAATCTGGCAGTTCTTCCTAATTTGACACCTGCAAACAGAAAACAATACTATATCAAATCATAAGATTTATTTCTCTAAGTTCTCAGCTTTCTGAGATTATCATAAATACACATGCAATGTTTCCATATTATCTAGAATACAATGTAGATCTTGAGTCTAACCCCTGTACTAAGAACCCACTTTTGGAAGTTAGCACAAACCTGCTGGAGTTTCCTCACCAGCATGCCTGACCTCCCTACCTATCCCCTCAGTCCCTCTGTTACTGGCATGTACGTTACTGAGAGAGCTGTAGCTCCGTGTACCAGAATTGTCCTGCGGCGTGTTGAAGACTCGGAAGCCCTCCCGCGTGGCAAACTTCCAGGCTAGCTCTGCCGCCTCCTTGGCCATGATGCCCACTGAAATGGCTTGTTTGGAGCTGGCTTGACCTGTTTGTAATGATGCATAGTAAGCAATATAGTAGAGCATAGGATCTAGATGTCTGCTACTGTAAGGTCATTTCATGACCGTATGGCAGAATGCTTATATGTGTATATATACATTTACAGTGTATGTTCATGTAATGATGCTATTTCCATCATCTTCTATACATGTATTAAAAGGATTATCATTATTTTAGCTTTTAGAAAGATTCTACATGAAAAGTATGTACCTGTGGTATAACATGACAGACTTGGAAAACTGTTAAGGTCTACAATGAATTTGCAGTTTGCAAAAAACATGACGTTCAACAAGACAGATCTGGTACAAGTGTGTTAGTTGAATTGAATAATAATAATAATTGTTGTTGAAGAAAATGTTGTATTTGTTGCCACATTATAAGAATATACATTTTTACAGAACAGTACCTTGTGTAGCTCTCTTGTACACGCCCTGTAGAATAGCGGCCACACGGAAGAAACTGAAGGCCTGGTAGAAGTCCCAGTTGGCCACAGGAGGTTCCCCCATCCTCTGACAATACTCCTCCATGTACTGCCTGTCACTGGGGATACCCAGGCCTCCCAGCTCCATCCCTCCCAAACCTAGACATCACAGTTTCAACAGTTAGACTACACAAATTCAAATTCTTGGCTCATGGACATTTGTAGGTACTAAGAATCGATGAGGTAGGTGTGTTTTAAAGAAATAAAAGCTAAGAAAGGCAACATGAAGTTCTGTTTTCATACAATCAAATATCAGAAACTGTTTCAGAATCCATACCTTTAAGTATGGGGAACTGATCTGAACCTTTATTAATATTAGGGAACTGCTTCCATACCTTTGAGTATGGGGAACTGATTTGGACCTTTAAGTATAAGGGACTCTTTCCATACCTTTAAGTATAGGGAACTGTGCAGGCAGATGATGCTGTAGACAGTTGTAAGCCAGGTCTGATATGGGATCACCCAACGTGGACAACTCCCAGTCCAGTACAGCCAGAACCTCTGGTTTGGTGGGATGGAAAATCAGGTTATCCAGTCTGGAAAAGACAACAACATCAGCCTTTTAGTCAGTTGATGATGATAACTGGCTCAATAATTATTCATAACATTATTAGAGTTATTACAGTATAATAAGAAAATCAGCATCACAGCATGAGGTACATGTACATGTACAACAAGCTGAACTGCACTGATTTGTACAATCGTACATGTATGTGGCAGAACATCAACTTACAAACAAATAAGAAAACTCAGGCATTTGAAACACTATACAACATGATACATGGATCGGTGTATTCAATGTATCATATCATTACATCATTGCCAACAACAATGCCTTTCTAAAATGATACTGAATCAGTTGTATACATATATACCTGAAATCGCCGTGTACCACGGTAGTTTTGTCCGTGGATGGTGCGTGGACAGGCAGCCATGTTAGCAGGCGGTCCATTGCGGGAATCTCGTGTGTCTTACTCGCCTCGTACTGTTTACCCCAGCGAGAGATCTGACGCTGGACGTAGTTGCCTGCCAAAAAAAGTTGTCAACTGTAAAAAGATCACCCCTAAAGCCTCAGAAAAAAATGATGTGTCTCCTGTTAATGTCCCTTGCAGGGGTCCACACAAAAAAAGGCTGGGGTGGGCATTTTTTTCTAAGGTCTGTCGGGAAACAGGAAACACACTACACCTAAGTACAGTGTCTACATGTAGGTGCTAATTTTCACATGAGTCAAGTGAGGAAACAGTTGTGAAGTACCTTTTCTAAGGCCACAAATTGTTACTTAGGCTAGTCACAGCAATACAATTACCATGTTTGCCATAGTCTTCCAGCCCTGCCTTCCTAACGTTCACACTATGGATCTTGGACAGGACTTCATTCATGGCAGAATATATCTCCTGTTATAGATACAAAGCAAGAACAAAATATCAGTCAGCTTGATCAATATGCCATTGTCATGAAACATGAGTAATAGGCAATTGTGTATGTATGGTAGTTATAGATAATGACAGTAATACTTAGATATGCTGATGTAAATGTGCTTTAAAAAACAGGAAGAGAGATTCTAATGTGCAGAATTCACTTTATTCCTATTATTCCTGTGTAAAATGTTATGAAATCATAATGTTTTGCTGATTTCTACAAGACATTCTACCTTTCTTTGCTCAGGCTCCATTCCAGGTAGGCTTGGATCTTTCAAGAGTCTTCCTGCCACATATTCCATCAAGTAAAATGGTGTACCAATCACACTGTACAAAACAACAGAAACATGTCTCAGAGAACTCCAACATATGTTTTATCACTTACATTTTCCACATTGTCAAGATAGATATTTCCTTTATACAGAGTTTATATATAGGAAGAGAATACATCATACATGTATAGCTATATCCCACAACGACTGTTCCATCATAGTGCAGAAGCTCCCTCTAGTGAGTCTAGATGGTACTACATTACAGGTTTCCAATGATGAATATTGATTTCTGATAAAAGCAGGAGACTTAATAGAAGCTATAGCTAATTATAATCCACCACTCCCATGTATACATAGCTACTGTAAAACATCTGAAACCTGAGCGTCAATTTTTCCTCTTAATCTTGTTATCCAACATTCATTGTCTTCCTTTGTAAATACAAAATGCAGTAATAGTATAACTGCACCCTTCTTACCTGTCATCTTCACAGAGAGCCACCAGTTCTGGTATGGGCACACCAGCCTCCTTCACTGCCTTCATCACTCTACAGATACAACACATACATGTACATTCAATCCCTGCTAGTTATACTTACATGTAAAACAATAGAAGATATCACCCTGATGATACTGCTATGAATATATAAAACATGCACATTCCAAGACCAAAGTCAAGAAAGATTCCTTTTACTTCTTTAGCACAATGGCAAAATGAGCCACAAGCATTACAAATGGAGCCAGTTAGTTAGTACATACATTGTTTTTTTTACCCAAGCTGCCCACTTGATTTCCAATACATATGTGGAACTTAGTAGATGTACTTAAAACATGGTAGCCATGTCCATCTACTCTGCATAAAGGACATGGCATATCTGAAAGTGCACTTTTTATCATGAAGAAGGTACCCCACCTGTACTCTCTCTCCACAGCATGGGCTGACGGCAACAGCTTTCCTGGCTAAAGAGAAATATAGGTCATGACAACATCCATCAGAAAATAAACACAAAGGTTGTCTATGATTAGTTGTGAAAGCATGATGCACACAAAAATTGAAGTTAAAACTTCATATCTTACCGGTTTCTTCCTTAGTACCATTTTCTTCTCCCCATATCCAACGTAGTAGGTAGGGTTGGACTGACCGTGGGAGAATTGACGGATGTTGACCCCATCTACACAAAGGAAAACAATGGGTTATACTAAGTCTTACTTATCATACCCACTGTACTACTTTGTTCACACCATCTACAAAAGTGCATTATACTTTCTTATCATATCTACTGTGCTATTACAAGACAACCTCTAGATCCACAGTTATGGTTAATCTTAAAAACTGTAAATAGTAGTCTGAGAATAACAAAAGATAGTCCACAGTTACCTGAAGAAGTCATCCCCAGTGTTTGGTTCATGTACGTGACTAAAGCATCAACATCGATCTCGAGGCCTTCCCTAACTTTACTGGTCCCAGGAACAAACCCTGCAGGGGGAGAAGATTAAAAACTTCCAAACCTCTTTTTTTTTATATCATATAAATTATATAACAATTCTGTAATGACAGTAAATGGCAATGATTGATTTTACAGTAATGTTATGCATATGGCTAGGTTTACTTAAACATACATATGTACAGTTATAATCATTACCTTTCAAAGGAAACTTTAAAATGGCTTCAAGTTCTTGTAAAGCTTGTGTCACACTGTCTACCTGAAAGAAGCGGAAAAGAAGCATTGTCAAAAGTTTCAAATAAAAAAATTCAATTTCACACAGCACCAAATAAAGACTCAGCACACAGCCTGCACAGCAAGTAGACATCAGGAAACTCCTGAAGTAACCTGCAGGTGATTTTTCAAGTTCTTACATGTCAAGATTAGACATTATGACCCTAAGGCCTGACCTTGACAGTGGTGATGCCCATCTCCACGGCTGGTTTGAGGTTAGACCCGATGTCGTCCAGAAACACAGCTTCCTCCGGTTTCACCTTTAACCTCTCCAGGGTGTGGCTGTAAATCTTCAGCTCTGGTTTCCTCATCCTCTCTATCGCTGACTCCACTACCTGGGGACAGATAGGAGAAGGACAGATGGATCAAGAATAGGGTTGTGTACTGACACACGTACATGTACTGACATCAACATCTTAGCAAACTTGTAGGTACATGCAGGTACAGGCAATGCATTTAGGCACTGACATTAGCACCCTATACTGGGACGCAATCTCTAGTCAAGATGTTTCTGGCTCTATCCCTCTTTCTATAAAAGAATCACTAACTTAATCAATTATGTCTGTAAGATATTACCATGATAGTAAGGTACAAAATGTACTATATACAATGTACAACATGCTTGGAAATCAGCAGCTTTTCCTCATTGAAAAATGACATTAATGCTTTCATTATACTATACCCAAGGTGTGACAGTTACCATAATAACTAGAAGTACACTTTGAACTTGAGAAATTCTAATTGATCACAGAGTTGGTACTAGTACATTTATACTTTATGATAATAAAGAAATGGAAAACATACCACGTCAAATATCCTCCTGTCCACAGGGAGGAAAGACTGTTGCCTGTTGACGAGCCAGTTGTTTGTGAGCAGGGCTGTTTTGATGCCCTCTGCTCTGATACACTGTACAGCATCCAGCATGGCTGGGTCAGGCTCTGCAATGCGCTGACTGAACGATGGCATCAGGTCAGCCACACACACTTTCTGTCCTAACTAGAGATGGGACAAAAATACATGTTTCCAGACTAGTATGACTCATCACTTTTGGTTCCTATCATTGGCAATCTTACTGTACATACCAGAAACTACATGTAGGTATGGCACTGGCCAGCCAATTTTTCACAGTACCAGTCTTCAGGCTTGGTGTGCCTGTGCAAGGACATACATCTATGTAATACCTTTAGCCTGTGTGGTTCTCTATCCCCTTTTCATGTACAGCCACACCTTGACATCGTATCTGTTGTCTCAACATAGTAAAGTCTCTTGAGTAGCGGCTATTTGAACTTTCTATCAAAACCAAGCCTAAACCCCATGCACACCCTTTTTGCTGTGGCATGTGGAGTTGGTAGATGCTAACTATTTGTCCATCTATTAATTTGGCCAATATCTACTTTTTTGGCAACTACTGAAGCTTGATAGAGGCTAGTTTGCCAATGAGAATGATGACTTACAACTCTTTCACACTCCTCGCTGAAGGGTTGGATGAACTCTGTCTGAGTGATTTCTCCCCGCTCCAGCCGCTGCCAGGCCCCCGAGTGACCCCCACTGTTGATCACTTTAACCACTGACCCAGGGGCGAGCTGCTTGGAAGCTTCAAATTCTGCATGGTGGGAAGTTAAGTCAAAACACAGGTATTAACATACTAAGGACTAAGGCTAAGGACCTTTGATAATAGAACGTGGCTATATACACTCCCGGAGTGTATATAAAATCTATTTGTCTTTTATATACACTCCCGGAGTGTATATAAAATCTATTTGTCTTTTATATACACTCCGGGAGTGTATATAAGATCTATTTGTCTTTTATATACACTCCCGGAAAGTTGATAGGGCATTCGAATGATCTGTCGCCGGTGCGAAGACCGCGCGATCGGCTGTGTTATCCGGAGTCCAAAGGGACCGGGGCGAACCCCGGGTTGGTCTTGGTCTGATAAATGCACGCCAGACCGTGAGGTCGGTGCTTCTTCCGCATGTATTAGCTCTAGAATTACCACAGTTATCCATGTAGGATGTGACGATCAAAGGAACCATAACTGATTTAATGAGCCATTCGCAGTTTCACTGAGACAGTTTAAACTTGCACGTGCATGGCTTAAACTTTGAGACAAGCCTATGACTACTGGCAGGATCAACCAGGTAGCGAGGACGCCAGGGGCGCGCGACCGGTCTCGCCGCCGCCGCCGGGAGCGGAGGGTCCGGGCCCCGCGCAAGCGGGGCGGGGCGATCCGCTCGACCGAACTTCGGTGGAGATTTCCGTGTTGTTTTCTGATTTTCATCATCCAATAAGATAAACTTGAAGACCGAGGTTTAAACTTGGTGCCCCTGAATCCTCAAACACTCACAAAAACCCAAGTTTTGGGCCTACCAAGGAGGCTAGTATTTCGGAGTGTATATAAAATCTATTTGTCTTTTATATACACACCGGGAGTGTATCTAGCCACGGCGTTGATAATAAGTACTTGGGACAAAAAAAAATGTACTAGTTGCATGTAAAAAGTCCTTTGTAGATAGGTGCCTTAACAATCATCATTTTACATAGCTTACAAGTTTACTAAAAAGGCAACCAAAGATAGCAGAATATTGAACGTTCAAAACACAGCATAAAGACGTTATTTCAGTGAAAAAAACACTTGACAATGGCTTAGTAGTAGTGAGTAGTACATTGGTATCAGACACTGTTTTTTACATGTAACGTTATACCTTGGAAGACCTTGAGAGGTTGTGGCAGGATGACTCCTCCCATGTCAAAAATGACAGCTCGTGTCTTCCACCTGACTTGCTGAGAAACACAGCTTCTTGTGACGAAAGGATGTTCTAGATTCCTCTGCCGTCCTCCAAACGTCCAGGATACAACACACCTTGCAGCAGTCGGGCCCGCCCCTCCCCCTTGCAAAAACTTTGCAGCGCACAACATTTTTCCTTTCGTGTGCCTTCAAGAATGAATCCTGCAATTTGTCCTCTACTTCTGCTGATTAAACATAACACGTCAAGGCTTGTGTTTTCTTCCTAAATCGTGTAAAATTCTACTAAAGTTCACACAAACAAACTATCCCCGATTCCATTCCAGGACCCAGGGCTCGCGGGTCGGGGGGAAAGGTCAAAGGTTCAACGTATTCTATGTCCTGATTATCCAGGTAAAACAACAGAGTATAACCGACTGTCGATCTCAAGCACTTAGAGTCTTTCTTTCAAGTTTACCTAATCTATGGCTATTGTAGCATTCCTTTTGCCGTTTGCATCATCTATGTCTAACGTTCATGAATGATGACCATGATTCATTCAGAAATTCTACTAGTATTTCAAACCAATCATTTGTACATAATATACTCATGAGATGGTGTAAAAGGGAATTGGTCGTTTGAAATAGCATGACAAAAGTTGTTCCCATTCATGTCAACTTTATTCCGAATTCACGAAATCAAATTGGTTGATCGGTGCACCTTGCAATTGGTATACAAATTGGTGAGTGAAGCAGTACAAGTAAAGCAAATAATAGCATGTACATTACGATATCACATACATTTTCTTCTGTTCACTTGGACCCCATGTCCCATGACTCTAACATTGAAATGCTACCAATAAAAACATGTATCGTGGCAGCCTCTATGATAGCTGTAACCTTAAAACACGTTAGAACGGACGGCACCCAGGTTGCCGAAGCTCAATGGAACTCAAGAAATCAGTAGTGCCGAATCATAAATGCTGCAAAAGGCCAACATATGCCCAGTGCCGGCTTGTCGTATACGTCACTATGTACTACCGCCACCTTTGTATTCCTGTGGCCTTAGTTTAGCTGCATTTTTTGGCTGGACCTTTTTTTTATTCGCCCGCGCGCATTAGTTTGGGTGTCATACATAAAATTAACTCAGCGTGGCCTCACTTCATGAATATGAAGACAACTTCGCCCTTGTATTGTTTGGCTGTAGTTTTGAAATCATCTATTGGCTTTCCCATGAAGCATTGGGTTTCTGACGTTTCAAAACACCGTTGGCTTTTCTGCCTGTTTCTTGGTAAAAGCAGATAGATATGGGTTCACGCTGGACAAAGGGGTATTTTGGGGGATTTCAGGAATTCTGGATACAGTTTTGAAGTTGCCTGTCGGCTCTCCCTGCATTTCAGTTGTTTCAAAATAACTAGAGGTCGTTGTTTCTTGTTTGATGAAACAAACAGGTAATTTTGCCTTGTGAAGTGGGACACCCTTTAAGCGTAGAGGGCTGCTGCAGGTAAGCTTATCGTAATTGTTCACAAATTCGGTAAAAAGGGGATCATCTCTTATAGCCATACAACTAAAAGGCCAGCATCGTTTAAACGACCTGGCCTTTCTTGCTAACCACGCCATACGGCAATCGCAGTGAATCGGGTTCCCATGTACAAACCTCCTCGGTCTAAACACAGTCTTAGAATTCGAAGAGATGGCCAGATTTGCTTCCGAAAATGTGACGAGCTTATTGTAGGCTACGTTAAGATATACGACGTGTTCGTACAGGAAGCTGGAAATAACTTCAGCTCCAATGGTAGACAATTGGTTGTGCGACAAATCCAGCGTTGAAAGGTACGGGGCATGTTTCAAAGATTCCCACGGAAAGATTGTAATCAGGTTGTGGCTTAGATTTAGGACTTTGACAGATGACAAACCTAATAAGTTTTCGATCGTTTGGATCCTATTTTGCGAAAAATCCACCTTGTTTGGATGGATAGGCAGGCTGGTGGGTAGAGAGGTTATGTTGGCTTCCTGGCAGATAATGTTTTTGTTAATATAACATCTAGCAGGTAATGAATCGCTGGTTACTACACTTATTAGTGCAAGCTTAAGAATGAAACATATGAAATATTTTATAATCATCATGAGGCTACAGAGAATAATTATTTCTATCTCAGAATGGTAAAAATGCAGTTAGTATATATAGATCGGAATCACTGCTTTCGACTAGTATAATATATGTCTTGTAGTGCACTGATGTACCCACATAGAATTATCTTTTCATATATCATTGAATGATTGATGTCCTATGAGATGCTTACTACTATACGAATTATGATATCCTCAGGTACACACTGTAGCTAGTTGCTGTCTTCAAGATGATGGTTATATTCCAACACAGGAGTCGAAATATGCAGTATGCTACAGAAACATACATGTACATGTAAGATACACAACAGGTTGTCGATAGTCAGAAGTCGGTCACATTCAACGTTCCATACACATTTTCATGACGTTTCAACAAAGAATGAATTAATGTAACGTTACGCCAAGCCGAAATCTACTCGGGAAACAATGCAGAACAAGATTTAAGGGATTTTGAAGAGGTTTATCTATAGACAAACCTGTGCCAAAAAAGTGTGCCTGCTCAAGCCTACTGTTTTAAGACACGCACTATTGTAACCCTACCTCTATAGGAAAGGCCTATGGGAGGTAAAAGTGAATATAGGTCTACCCCTCACGAAAAACACTACAAAACAACTTTACTCTTAAGTTTTGAGTAGAATGTACAATCTACCGAGCAAAGGTGTTGAGTGGGCATTATATCATTGCTATGATACTCTAACTTCAATTTCAACCTCGACTTTTCAATTCGAACAAAAATACGTTATATCTCGGTTTGAGTTGCATCCTTCAGAAACTATGACAAGAGCCACATACGTACCAACTCCTCTAACTCTCACTGCAGGAATGCTTCAGATGAGTATTGGCGTGACGATGGAACCGACTAAAAGTCGTTTGGCGTGGTAGTTCGTTTTGTAACGTTTGACCCTGGCCTATTTTTTGATGCAATCTTCGTAACCGCAGCCTCTGGGCCGCCTCACGTGCGTCGGTCAGAAATACTTCTTAATTCATATACAGTAGTCTTTTTGTAATATGCCTTGGCCTATTAACAATACACATTTCTAAATTGTCTTTCATACTGAAAGTACTCGACGTGCTTAATGCTGTTTTTTATAAGAACCAGAACGAATGGACGCCGACCACACGCCAAATTTTAATTTTGTTTTACATGTGTTTTTTAATACAGTTGACATGTATGTGTCAGGTTTCTACTATATAATTATGGGACTAGGAGAACAGAAAACGTGCAATCTGTGGTTATTTTTTGTCTGACTCTTACATCATCTGGCCTCAATGAGCCGATTTGAGGTTTCTCATGAGTCATGAATAAACGAACTTGAAAAAACGTGGCTGCATAGGTGACAACGCAGTACTTGCGATTGCAATGTGCTCATTGGACATGCCATAAATCCTCATATTAGTACTGAAATAACATTTTGAATACATACAAAACATTAATATTGCACTGTTTGAATCCGGTGTTGATTTTCAAGGCTGTCGACTTTCCAGGAGTGGGAATTCGGGGTGTACTATTCATCTGGAAATAACCGTTGTTCCTTTTCGGTCTAATCTTATCAGAACAAGCAGGTATGTTTGCAGAATGCAATGGGACGTTCTTTAGGTTTTCCGGGCTGTAACATCTGTGCAAATTGGTCACCAAATCTGTATAAAGGGGGCCATTTCTTACAGCCCTTGTACATTTGGGCCCAGATTGGTGACAGTCGCGAGCCATTCTTGCTAACCAGGACATACGGCAATCGCAATGAATCGGGTTACCGTGTATCCATGCGATTCTTGTTCCTCTCATAACGTTTGCAGAACTAATACCCAGGTTTTCCTCAGAAAACGTGCTTATATTATTGCAGGCTACATTTACATGGATAAGGTCCTCTAGTCCAGCCAGGTCAGCCCTAATAAACGATAATTGATTATTTGATAAATCAAGCCAGAATAGATGCTTCACATATTTCAATGTTTCCCATGGAAATGTAGTCAAAAGATTTCGGCTTAAATCTAGCTTGTGAATATTTGGGAAGCTGGAAAAGTTGTGGATCGTTTGGATATAGTTTTCCTGGAGGTGGATCTGCCTGACAGAGTCTGATACAAGTACAGTAGGTAGATTGGTGATATTCGATCTGGGACAGTAAATTTTACTAAAGAATGTATCCATTTTAACATAACATCTTGCTGGTAGCGAAACTTCGGTTCCTGAATCTAGATCTGTTACCACTTTTATGAACATGAACAACATTAAACATTTACTTATCATCATCATAATTCAAACGACGTAGAGAACAAGGGGCGATCTTGTAAACTAATATTGAAAGGTTAGATTATTGATCATTGATGACTAGAGAATACAATCATACAGATTGACACACTGTTCTATGTTCGCTGTCCGTTTGAATTAACATGAATTTGCATTGAAGATTGAAAAAACGTGGCGATATATGATAAAGAGTGTCGTGCCCCAAGTCTGGATGGTTTGCTTGATAAAGTAGATGATGGTTATGCACTTGGACGCCACGTTAAATCTTGAATCCTGTAGCAACATAAATGTCATAATAATACGTCTGCCTTTGACTTAGTCTTGGAAGCAGGTATATCCTGCATTCACAATAAACCCATATTCTCTTTCTGTAGAACTGCACTAAAGGATAACAGAATACCAATTAGACGGAACGCATTTTTTGCAGTAAAATTCAATAAAAAAAGCTTGTGCTCATATATTAGCGGACAGTCCTAACTATACTATTATACACACATTTGGTAGATTGTAGATTCCTGAGAACTGAGAGTGGCGTGGTTTCAGAAACAGATCTATCCGTACCTCAAAACTCCAGGACAAGCTGCTCGCGAACTGCCCACTATAGCATCGGTGAATATGGGCGAAGCGCTCGAAAAATAGCAGAAGAGCTGAAGATGGATAAAACTCCCCGCACGATGTTTTTTACCAGGCTGTAGCTGGTCCACCGTCTCCCGGGTTCTTTAGCTGTCTGATCCGGCCGGAAAATAGCATTGAAAGAAAAGTCGCAGACTATTTGGTGGTATATTTGATTTATCGCTTGAGGCAATGTTTCATGGAGCTTCACAATCACCAGTTCGTCCATAGAAAGCATGTATCAATTTGTTTGTTTTTTTTTCACCCTCGAGCATCACCGAAGTCTGGCATGAGGAAATCATGACCACTGTTTGAGAAGACTAATCTCCAAGCAGATCATATGGTGGCA